TAGTACTTTTTTTGTTTTTTAAGTCTCTTCAGTGATATTGAATGAAGCATCGAATTTGCCTCTTCAACTGAAAGATAAGTGGGAACGCCCACTAAGAGAAGCAACTTGCATTGCAAAAATTTTGAATAAACAAATAAAGTATGTTACATAAAATTATCATAATTAAAATAAAACCGAAAAAAAATCAAATCTTTACCTATTAGATGCCAATGAATACAAAGTTTACGAATACAAATGTTTTGCTAAATTCATGTTCTTTCTATGTTGCTTGAGGAAGTAATTGACTGGCAATTTTACAGATTTTTAGGAGTTGGAAATTTGGGAAGATAAAATAAAATGAGAAAGTTATTGTGAGCATTTGATTCGGTTTTGTTCTAAGAGGTGAAAAAACTTGTGGTGCGGATTGGGAGAGTTATCTTTGATTCAGTTTTTTTTTTTTTTTCTTTTCTTTAAACTGAAGCTTTGTTGTGGGTAAATAGATTATACATAAAACTTTTAATAATAGATTGACACTTAGAATTTTCATTAAAATTTGGCCAAAATTTTATGTTGTGGGTAATTGAGTATTACCGTTTTAATACTTTTTTTAAAAAAATTTTGGAATATTTCGTGAGGAGACTTTCAAGAAAATAAGGACACTTGGATTTTTGGGAGAAATGTGATTTTTGTTATAATGGAGGTTATTATTATAGACGTCATGATCTCAGCTTAACTCCATCTGCGGTAAATTCCTGTGTTCGTTAGTTCTCTAGGTTTAGGTTGGCAGCCAACATTATTAAACTCAGTCATTCTTATGAATATGAATCATATAAGAAATCGTGTAAATGTTAGGACGTCACACGTTGTACGTGGCACATTGCAGGGTCCGACTGCGTCGTCTTGGCAATGACCGCTACATTTCCATGGGGACTTGGGTGTAATGTAAAATGTGCAAGAGGCCCTGTACGCCAAGAAAGCATTACAAGTTAAACCTTTCACTTCTTGGCAGATACCACTATATTCTCGTAAGAGTGTGGGAGTAGTAGGAACTACGAAAAATGCCCAATCTAGAAACCAATCTAAAAATAATAATAGAAATGGTAAGACTTGTAGGTTAGGGAGTTTGAACATAGGGTCTTTAATAAGTAAATCTCTAGAGCTAGTACAATGTATGAGAAGAAGACGAGTAAATATAATGGATTTGCAAGAAACAAAATGGGTAGGTGAAATGAAAGGGCCCAAGTTTTAGATAACACGGGGTACAAATTTGGTATAGTGGGAAAGATAAAAATAGGAATGGGATAGGTATTATAGTTGATTCATTATTCATAGACCAAGTAGTAGGGGTTAGGAGGCGTTTATTCACTTCAATAAGTTGGAATCCTCCGGAACCAGGTTCTTACATTTTGAATACTGATGGGTCTTCTCGCACTCAAGAAGCTGGTTATGGGTTCATAAATTGAGGTGGTGGTGGCTTTTTTGTTTATGGTGAGCTAGGGTTTCTAGGGGCTCGAGACAGTATGGAAGCTAAAATTGCGGGTTTGCTCTTTGGTTTACGGAGATGTATGCTTTTGAATTTGCATCCGGTTTTACTTTAATCAGATAATAAGGTTTTGGTGGATTTTTTGAACAGGAGAATAGGTTTTCCATGGAGGTATCTACACTCATTACTTGAAATTGAGACTATTACTGAGCGCCATTCCTTCAAAATTGAGCATATATACCGTGAGGCTAATGTGGTGGCAGCAAATTTAGTGAAGCAAGCTGCGGATGGAAGTTGTCTCGTGTTTCAAGCTTTAGGGGATCTTTCTCTTGTTGCGAAGGGACTCTTGATTCTGGATCAAGGGTCTTTTCCATATGTCCGTACTTGATTAGTTGAATCCTCTTTTGTACTAGCAGTAGAGAATTTCTAGTTTGTCTTTGATCCAATTTCTATCATAAATCTGTATCCTGGTAAGTCTTAAGTTTTGCCAGTTCTTGGATTAAATTTAATAATATTTATAGAGGGTGTGATTTTAAGGAACTAGATGGTATACATGTACATACCTTGGGTATAACCCTTGGGTGCATTGTATCATCTGGCACTGACTGATTTAAAGAATAGCTCCTGGGTATGCCCCTTGAGTATTTTTTGAGGTAGTTGGAACATGAATATTGTGTACCATCCTTTTTTTCGAGCTAAAAAAAGAAAAAAAAAAGACCAAGTGGTAGGGGAGGTTTGGAAGGTGGATAGATTAATAACCTTAAAAATCATAATTGGAAATGAAATCATGAATATAATTAGTGCATATGCGCCTCAAGTAGGATTAGATGAATCCACTAAAACAAAATTGTGGGAAGATTTGGTGTCATTGATCTAATCAATCCCTCAAAACGAAAAAAATCTTTATAGGTGGGGATTTAACTGAACTTGTAGGGAAGGAAAATGAAGAATATGAGAGAGTTCATGGGGGTTATGATTTTGGGGTACAAATAATGAAGGTAAAACTATATTGAACCTTTCGGATGCATATAAAAAAAGGATGAACACTTGATTACATATAAAAGTGGCTCTAACAAATAAAAAATTGATTACTTTTTAACTAAGAAAAGCATTAAAAAAAAAAAACTTTGTAAAGATTGTAAGGTGATACCGGGAGAGTGTATAACAACTCAACATAGGTTGTTAGTCGTAAATCTAAGACTTAAAACCAATATATGTAAGGGGAAAATACAAAAAATACCTAGGGTAAAATGGTGGAATCTTAATAATAAAGATATAAAAGATATGTTTACGAAAATGTTACTTTAAAAAGTTAATTGTAACATGGAAAAAGAAGCCAATACAACTTGAGAAAGGGGAACTAAAGAAATAAAAGTAATCGCTACAAAAGAACTAGGAATCTCAAAAGGTAATAAATGCAATAAAGAATCATGATGGTAGAATGAAGATATTCAAGAAAAGGTAAAAGATAAAAAAAAAAGCTTATTATAAAGCATTATATACTTGTAGGAGCGACGAGAATGTTGAAAAATATTAAAAAGCTAAAAAAGAACTTAAAAAAATAGTAAGTGAGGCAAAGACAAAAGATTTTGAAAACTATTAAAAAAAAATTAGATACTAAGGAGGGGGGAAAAAGACATTTATAAAATTGTAAAAATAAGGGAAAAGAAAAAAAAAGATTTGACCAAGATTAAACCCATAAAAGATGAAGATGGGCATGTCGTAGTGGATGGTAAGGTAATGAAAGATAGGTGGAAAGATTATTTCCACAAACTATTCAATGAAGTAGATAATAGGGAAACAACACTATGTGAGCTAGACCTAAGTGAAAAAAAAAAAAATTTCACATATTATAGAAAAATCCAAATAAAAGAGGTTGAGAAAGCTATGCACAACATGAAAAAGAGTAAAGCCGTAGGCCCCGATGATATCCCAATAGAGGCATGGAGATGCCTTGGCGAATTTGGGATTAAGTGGCTTACGAAGTTATTCAACATAATCATGAAAAGTAACAAAAAGCCTAACCAATGGAGGAAAAGTATACTAATACCTTTGTTTAAAAATAAAGGAGATATACAAAATTGTGCTAAATAAAGGGGCATAAAACTAATGTGTCACACAATGAAATTGAGGAAAAGGGTAATAGAAACTAGGTTAAGGCAAGAAAACAAACATAATAGAATATCAATTTGGCTTTATGCCCGGAAGATCAACAAGGGAAGCTATACATTTAATGAGAAGATTATGTAAGCATTTTAATTAGAGAAAACAAGATTTACACATGGTTATCATTAATCTTGAAAAAGCAGATGATAGGGTTAATAGAGATATAATGTGGCGGGTGATAGAAAAGAGGGGAGTGAGAGTAGGATATATAGAAACAATAAAAGACATGTATGATAATGCAACAACATATGTGAGGACTCCCGTATGGATTTCAGGTGAGTTTCCCATCACGGTAGGTTTGCATCAAGGGTCGGCATTGAACCCATACCCTTTTGTTTTAGTAATTGCTGAAATCAATAACATTTGCAAGTAGCCATCTCCGAATGCATGTTATTCGCAGATGATATAGTTCTAATAGATGAAACAAGGGAGGGGATTAATACGAAGTTAAAAACTTGGAGAGAGGTGCTAGAATCTAAAGATTTTCTAATAAGTAGTGCTAAAACGGAATATATGGAATGTCATTTTCGTATAAGTAGGAATAATAACATGGTAAAATGTTAAGATTGGTGAACATAAAGTGAACACTAGTAAAAGTTTTTAATATTTAGGATCAGCTATAGAAGAAAATGGAAGTATTGATGAAGCTGACAGAGAATTCAAACTGGGTGGAATAAATGGCGTAGTGCCTTATCAATACTTTGTGATCGTAAGGTACTATTGAGTTTGAAAGGTAAGTTCTATTGAACGGCCATTTGACCCGTGATGCTTTATGGATCTGAGTGTTAGGCTGCTAAATATGAAAATGAGCAAAAAAATTCGAGTAGCAGAGATGAGAATGTTAAGATGGATGTGTTGGTATAGTAGATTAGATAGGATTAGAAATGATTGTATAAGAGACAAAGTAGGGGGTTGCTCCAATAGACGAAATGATGAGAGAAAATCGTTTCAGCTGGTTCGGGCATGTGCATAGGAGTCCGGTAGAGGCTCTAGTTAGGAGGGTAAAATTTATAGAATCAAGAATTCAAATTAAAAGGGGTATTGGTAGACCTAAGAAAACATGGAAAGAAATTATAAAAAATGATTTGAAATATTTCAATTTGTCCTATGAAATATGCACTGACAGAGCACGCTGGCAAAATATAATCCATATAACCGACCCCACCTAGTGGGAAAAGGCTTGCTGTTGTTGTTGTTGATGTCATGATCTCAGCTTATGCTTCTTTTTTTTTTTTTATTGCAAAATATTTACGGTCGACAATAATAACTAATTTCCCTGACTCAGGTTATATGGTTCTTAATTTGTTCCATGCATATCTATCACCCATACACACAAAGAAAAGGAAAAAAAATTTATATCCTCTTTGTCAACAGAAGAAGCATATTGTCTATTAGGGCCCACAAAACGCTTTAGTTTATCCTCATATGAAGTTATTGTAATAATAACTACTAGTAGTCAAGTAACTCAACTATAAAAGACTCACTCCCTTCCCCCATCTTGCTCACCCTTCCAAATTTTATTACCTCATTTCCTTGCTCTATTCGACCAACAACGCAAAAATGTCTGCTCAGATGAGAAAGTTGTCATCCTCCGTGGAAGTAAAGTTAGATGGAAATGTCATTCATGAAATCTTAAAAGACAGACCAAACGACATTTCCCGTGTGAGCCAACTCGTCAGCAGCGTTGAGTTGTGTGATGGCCAGTGGGGAAAAGCGGGATCTGTCGTCCGCTGGAATTTCAGTACTCCTGGTACGTATAAATATTCCTTAAGTTAATAGTTTGAAATCCTAGATTTCGAGTATATTTATTTTCTGTAGGTTTTTGGGCATCAACAAAATTGAACAAAGAAATCCAAAGTGCAATGTTTCTTGCTACAGATAGTCTTCCGTGTCATTTTTTACGGGACGCAAATGCAACACGATATCGTGAAATAATTTGATATGTGTCTAATAAAATCATAGTCTAAAAATTTGATAGGAAAAAATGTTTACACATGAACCGCCCCCGCCCTAAATGCATTTTCTGCATGCAAGCTAGGTTGATTCTGACTAAATTTCCATGAAGTAGTTTACGGTTTCGATTCTCTTCTTTATCTTTTCAATGGGAACGATAAAGATTCAATGGTCAAAATGTGTTTAACTCTTCCTTTTTTTTTCATTCATAATTTCTATATTATGATTATTATATCACAGACGGAAAGAAGTTCTCTTCAAAAGAAAGGGTTGAGGTGATTGACGATGCAAAAAAATCATTGACATGGAGGGTGCTTGAAGGAGATGTGAAGGCGCTTTATTCCAACTTTGCCTTCATTATGAATGTTGAAAAAGCTGGTGAGAACAAGAGCTTGGTGACATGGACAATGGAGTATGAGAAGCATGATGAAAGCATCCCAGAGCCTCATGGAATTTTGGAATATTGTCTTATTATCACGAAGGATATCGAGGCTTAATTACCACCTCAACAAATGAAATCAATCTGTTATATCAAAAGAGACATCATCATGGTGTTCCATCACTCCGTTCACTCTATTATGTGTGCTGTACGTGATACTATCTATAGTGTGTGTGAATAAAATGCCTCCACTATGTGACAACTGAATCTATAATCGATGTATCTTGCTTTCATTTGTGAAATTATAAATTCTATGTCGTTATGTTTGTTGTTCTATTTCTTTTCCTTGTCGGTGTTAATGTGATGTTCACAAGTTCATTGTTGCACTATCCAAAGGTTATATAGTTCGGTCATAGGAAGGATTAAATCATCCATTTTAATCATAGATAAGAGGTTTGAAATCTTTAGATAACAGCTTTGAAATTTATCAAAGTATATAACTATTGTGACTTCCTATCTCAAAATTAATTGGCATTAAATAAAGTACCCTTTAGAACTTATGTACAGATCCACTTCTTTTTATGTGACGACCTATATTAACGAAATCAGCTTTAAGCATGGAATTTCTTTAAATCTTTTAACTAGTTACCTCAAGTATATTATTGTTCCTGCCAGTCAAAGAGAGATAATTTGTACACGGTATGTACCCAACAATATGGGAAAAAATTTTAATGTACAAGTACAACATTAATCTTTAGAATTCGGTTTTTTTTTTCCTTAAAAAAAGAAAATTGCCGCTAAATTTATAGTTTATGGACAACCTCCTTAAACAACCATAATTGTTCCTTCTTTGACCCAAGAGAATGAGTGTAACGATATTTTACGAAATCTATCTTTAAAAAATAAACATGTATATATACATATTAAAAATCACATGACTAGACATCGAGTTTCCGTCTTTAAATAAAGCGTTCTTAAAATCTTGAGTAAGTTATATATCCTGCCATTTGAAATGTTAGCGAAGAAATTAGTCAATTGTGGATAGTGATACCTGCCCAGAAAATGTGTCACTTCCCATGTATCTCTGTTAAATAATTTCTTCCGTTCCAACTCGAGACCATTACAAAAATAAAAAAATCGATAAATTAGTAATATAATAAATCCTTAGGAAAATTCCTGTATAAATATAGGTACCCAGAAAATCATAAATCAATATTAATCTAAAATATCGGAAAAAAGCTAAGAACATTTAAGAAACTAGGAGGCGATTGAGCTTTGTTTTTTTCTTGAAATTCACATTAAGAAAATTGTATCCTGCATTTTCTTTCCGACAAGTAAATATAAATTTATAAGATCATAAGTATAAAGGGAAGTTGGTTGTAGTTGAGTATTTATTTCCTAATAAAATTTTTTTTAAAAAAATACTCTTCAAATTCATAAAGTATTAATTTATCAAGAAAATAAGAATAATTAATTATGGTAAAATAATATCTTATAAATTAATAAATTCTTGTAGGATCAACGTTATTAATTTATAAAGTTTATACTGTAGTTAAACTTTTGAAGTCCACCAAGCCTACCCAAAAAAAGTTTTTACTGTAGTATATATATTTCATCTCGATGAAGTCATGAGTGCAGTAATGGACTTTTAGTGTGATTCTGCTCACAAAATAACACTTTGATTCGAGTTGAAGTAAAACATATAAATAACGAATATATCTCTACTAAAGTGAAAATCTACGTTACCCTATTGAATATTCATCAACGATTTGATATATCTTTAAAGCGAGGATCTTCTTATACTTTTGGTGATGAAGATGAATAAAGACGAGACTTTATGTATCTTCCATCATTTTCTTTTATGGTTGCACTGTTGGATCTTCTTTTCTTGTAATTGCACTAAAAATAGGTCACTTCCCATGCATCTGATTCCATATCACACTTGTTGATATTCCAATATTCCGCAGTATAACTACTCCATCAATTTCGAAAAAGGCAAGAAAAACGAAATTTTTTTTTTTTTACATTGAAATGGGAGTTAGTTTTTTGTTAGCTTTATTAATTATCCAAGAGTTTGAAAAACTTACAGCTCGAATCCTTTTAAATTTAACCGAATCTTTTTTAGTGCAGTACACATGGAAAAGTTATTTTTGGGTCTGTTACATTTTATTTTCGTTCTTTTTCAGGCCAAGAAGTAACCCCGGTGACGGAGCCAAAATCCGTCTGCCAATTGAGCGATGGAACTCCGGTTAGGATTTGTGATCTGCAAAAGAAAATTTCACGGGTCTTGCGAGAGTAGACACTCCAATACTTATGTCTGTAAAGGATTTTAAGAAGAACGTATGATTGCTATAAGATGCTATAGGTTGTGTACCTCAATTGTGGTGTTATTAACCTTATTTATAGACATGGAATTATCTTGCGGATATCCAAATCTTTCTAGATTTCGTATTACTCAACCGCCTTATGACGTCGGTTGGACCCTATTCGATGGATGGACCAGGTCCAATAACTCGTTGTGACTACGGACTCGTCAAGTGCTCGTGTGAAATGTTAGTAATTGAAATAGATAACATTTGACAAAAGTAAATCTGACCAAAAAGGACTCAAAATTCATACATCTCAGTAGCAATCAAAGTTTCATGGTAAATGTGATTTCTTTAAGAATAATATTAATGATATCTCCTGATTGGGTAACCGCAAGAAACAAAAGGTTGTTGCTCCAAAATATATATTTAGAGGTTGTGTTCATTGAAGATGATACGGAAAACAAACTTGTAGTGAGTCTTCATATAGTTTGATGACACCATTTTTTTTTGGGATGAAGAAGTTCTTTGCCACCGTTGTGGTCATGCTACAGATAGCCGCACAACATAGATAGAATCAGATATGGCCAAGAACATCAATGTCAAAGGTGTAGTCATCCCGGATCTGCTATGTACTTTTGTTCATGTCCTTCGCTTTTATTCGTTTTACCAATGTAAGATATGACCATAATCAAAATCTAACTTCTTATGAGTCCTTTGTGCACGCACTCAACATTATCTTCAGCATCTCCAGCGTCTGGATCTGTTACGGGAGAATGCCAGTCCTCAACAACAGTGGATGACGGGGAACCTGTAAGTATGGTTCTGTTTCCATCACAAATTTGGATCTTTAGAACACTAGGGCAAATCACGTATGTATCATGATTTTTAGAGTCAGGAATAAATTATTTGCAGAAAATTAATTGTTCCGTCAACGTAAATGTTTATTAGTACTAAGGAAGATGGCCTCTAAAAATTACCAATTTCGTCTCACAGCACAGCTAAAGGATTGTTGATCTAAGTTGTAATACCAAGCCAAGCGATTGCTTCGAACCATGAGCCAAAGAAAAGACAAATAAGTTCGTTTTCTTCCTCCTTGAAGCCCCTTCATCGCCAGAATCTTCTCCTCCTTGAAGTACCATATTGAAAGCTTCGAAGGCATCAGAATTAGTAATATCCAAGGAAATGTAAAGATTTGGATGGTTGAATATAATTCGCTTTTAACATTCAATCTTTGTGAGAGATACGTCCTCTGACTCATGCTTGCACAATTTTCTTCCTTGGAAAATTATACAATATATCTTCCAAATGATTGTGCGTTGTTCTTTTTCACTTGTGCTAATTAAATCAAACGGCTGAATCTCGGGCAAAATAAGAATCAGCCTTTGGCCGGACTTTATTTAATTCTTTGATGATCAAGTACAGCTACCGGTAATCGGCCTAGTCTAGGGAGTTCCCGGCTTCGGATTATTGGTTTTATAGCTCCCATGGTCTTTCTTTCATAACCATAATCTCATAAGACTCTACCTCCTTCTCGGACCAGTCCTGATCTAATGACGGGTATTCTGCCAAAAAGACCGCCAACACCCGCCCTTTGACCACCGATTGCGGCACATGCTGAAGCTAGTATTCCATCAGTGCTAACGCCCATTTTCTCAAACGGCCACTCATGGTCGACCGATACAACATGTATTTCACCAGATTTACCTGGCTAATCACAAACACCGTAACTGGTAGCATATAATGCCTTAATTTCATGGCAGCATAGTACAAAGCCAAACATAATTTCTCTATCGGCGGATACCGTCTTTCAGCATCATTCAACAACCGACTCAAGTAATAAACTGCCCTTTCCAATCCATCTTCTCCATCTTGGGCCAAAAAGCAACCAATAGAATCCTCCGTGGCCGATATGTACAATTTCAGTGGTCTTTCCCTTTGTGGTGATGTCATCACCAGTGGATTTACCAAGTACTCCTTCAACCGAACAAAAGCTTCTTGTTGTGCTTCTCCCCAAACGAACTCACCACTGTTATTAGACTTCAGCAAAGGTGAAAATACCTTGATCTTCTTAGATAAGTTCGCTATGAACGGTGTCAAGAAATTCATTTTACCAATCAGACTTTGCAAATCTTTCTTATTTCTTGGCGGCCTAGCATCAATAATAGCCTTAACCTTTTCAGTATCAACTTCCCAAAAAGTTTCCAGAGGTTACGCCAAACGCACACTTCAGTGGATTCAGCTTCAACTTGTACTTCCTCATTTGGGCGAATGCTTGGGCCATCTGATCTAAATGTTCCTTAAAAGTATGAGATTTTATTACGACATCATCAATATACACTTCCACCATACTTCCAATCATATCATGAAAAATATAATTCATGGCCCTTTGATATGTTGCTCCGGCATTCTTCAACCCGAATGGCATTACTCTCCATTGGAAAATTCCCAACGCTCCTGGGCAACGAAATGCCGTTTTTGGAATATCCTTCTCGGCAATATAAATCTTATTGTATCCAGCATTTCCATCCATGAAATTCTTAAACCGATAGCCGACCAATCGATCAATCAACATTTCCACGATAGGCATATGATATTCATCCTTAAGAGATGCCAAATTTAAATTACGGAAATCAACACACCCTGGTCTTACCATTCTTCTTAATTACCGGTACCATGTTCGCCAACCAGTCTGGATAAAACGCCACTTCTATAATACCAACCACCAATAATCTCAGTATTTCCTCCTTAATTTTAGCGGTCACTTCATCTGAAAACCTTCGTGGCGCCTGTTGTTTTGGCTTGAACTCTTTCTTCGTGGGATTGGTATGCTCAATCAAATTACGATCCAATCCTAGTATTTCGGTGTAATCCCAAGCAAAACAATCCTGATATTCCATCAATATTTTTGCCAAGGCCTTCTTTTGATCATCTAAAATCATCGCACTTACGAATATTGGCTTTTGCTCTTCACCAATTCCCAAATTCACGGATTCAATTGGCTCCTTGGTTACTACGGCATCATCCTCAATTTTACTGCTTGCCTTCGTTAATTTTGACAATTCAATATCCTCATATTCAACTACAGGTTCATCTTCACATACAATATCTATTATACATAGTACAAACGATTCCAACCAATAAATTACTGAATCCTTTATCATCATCAGGAACTTCTTCTATAATTGGTCCAGCCTCATGTGGCTTAGGTGCCAAATATTGGAATGGCATGTGGATCTCTTGCAGAAACATCTTCCACTCCCTAATTCCTATATTCTTCACA